AAAAAAAAAAAAAAAAATTATGTCAACTGGGCACAGTGGCTCACACCTATAATCCCAGCACTTTGGGAAAGCAAGGTGGGAGGATCGCTTGAGCCCAGGAGTTCAAGACCAGCGTGGGTAACATAGGGAGATAAATAAATAATTAGCCAGACACGGTGTCTGATGCCTGTAGTCTCAGCTACTCAGGAGACTGAGGCAAAAGTATCGCTTGAGCCCAGAAGGTGGAAGTGGCAGTGAGCCAAGATCGCACCACCGCACTCCAGCCTGGGTGACAGAGTCAAATACTGTCTCAAAAAAAAAAAAAAGAATTATGTTGTCACTTGAGCACAGAGGCTCATGCCTGTAATCCCAGAACTTTTGGAGGCCAAGGTGAGATCACTTGAGCCCAGGAGTTCGAGACCAGGCTGATGGACAACACAATGAGACCCATCTCCACGAAACATTTAAAAAGTAGCCTAGCACGGTGGCTTGTGCCTGTGGTCCCAACTACTCAGGAGGATGAGGTGGGAGGATCACTGGAGCCCTGGAGATCAAGGCTGCAGTGAGCTAGGATTGCACCACTGCACTCCAGCCTGGGCAACAGAGAGAGATCCTATCTCAAAAATTATGAAAAAAAATGATGTTGTCAAACTCGTAGAAGTGGAGGGTAGAATGGGGGTTGCCAGAGGCTGCAGAGAGTTGCTCCTGAACAGGTATAAAGTTTCAGTTTCCGTTATGCAAAAGGAGTATGTTCTAGGTCTGCTATACAACATCACACTTGTAGTTAACAATACTGTATTGTTCAATTAAAATTTTGTTAAAAGGGTGGATCTCATGTTAAATGTTTTATTACAATAAAAAATAAATTTTAGGAAGAGAGTTGTTAACTGGGATTTTTTTGCAGATATCCTTTAACAGGTTGAGGAAGTTCCTTTCTGTTCCTAATTTGCTAAGTGTTTTTGAAGGGGTGTTGGGTTTTGTCAAATGCTTTTCCTGCATCTATTGAGATGATCATGTGGGTTTTGCCTTTTATTTTATTCCTATGGTGTATAATGTGATTAATTGGGGATATTAAACCAACCTTCATTCTTGGGATAAATCCTACTTGGATATGGTGTGTAATCCTTTTTATGTTGCTGAATTTGGTTTGCAAATATTGCGTTGAGAATTTGTGCATCTGTAA